GGTTTGGTTTTTCAGATCTGATTGAAGTGTGGATGAGAGGATCAGAAGTACTGTTATGATTTTCGGCACCTCTCGTATTGTTTTTCGGCTTGACTCCGACCCCTTCACAAAGCAGGGGGGCGGATCCTCGGAGCAGGGGGGCACGTTATATTCTTTCAAACGAAATGGCGTTGCTGACATTTCTTCACCGAACCTTAATGATATATTTTGAGTATTTCAGGGAGATAGTACTTCTTCGCGTTGTTCCTGCGGACGAAGGTTTGGTGGATGAATGGAACAATTTGTCTTAGGATTGCATACATCTTGGCAATGGTAGGATATCTAGCTAGGCGGATTTAGAGACGCGCTGAGATATTGTGACGAATTGGCGGTGAAAGGAAAGGCACCTTTGAACGGCGTTCGTCATATTTTTCTGGATGAAAGAGTTTGAGTTGAGAATTTTCAGAAGAGAGCGAGAGTGATTGGCGTGTGTTGGTATGTAATTTGGATACTTTTGTCGTGTCTGAAGTATTTTCGTTTTCTTGGTTTCGATTGTGTTTTGGGATGAACTGGTATGAGAAGGGTGACTATGATATTTTCCCGGAGCATGACGATGCATACGAGCAGGGGGGCTATTCGATATACTCGTAGCATAGCATGCGGGTGGTATATGGCGTATACATATGCGGGTATTGCAGTGACGAACTACGGAGGAACAAGAAGTTTCGTTTATGTTTTCTTTGGGAGTGTAGTAGATTGGTGGACATTCATGGAGATTCGTTTTGGGTGTTTGAGCGTTATGCGTGAATTGATGCCGTGATGGAATGACGAGCTCAAGCACGCCCCCGATGAATACAACACGGATACAACACGTTTTCCAGCACGTCTGTACGACTTTCCCTACCCCTACGGCCCGTCATGGCCGAGCTACACTCCCATCACACACAACTGAGCCACCCGAAGTATCAATCACAGTATTTCCAACCCCATGGCGGGCAGCGCTAGCGTGATGTCTACTCTACGGCGTAGATAGATGAAAAATTCTTTGAAGCGATGGTTGCGAAGAGTTCCCCCCTGGCCATGTAAGTTTTGGACACACGCGCGCACATGTCTTCTACTACAATATCCAAAGCCCGTACAAGTACTGCTGGGGGTCTACTACTTGTAGACTACTGTAATAGCCTGGCACTTGCACAGGTGAAAATCCTTGCGTCTCACCGGAGGCGAAAATCTTTACGTCTCACCTTACATCAGTTGCGTTGAAAACAGCTTTATTCCGCGGGTTCGCGAGGCGAGTCACCCCTGTGAGCTCTTTCATGGCCAGCTCCTCGCGCCAGGACCCGATTCGAACTTTGGCATCATCGAACTTGTTGTACCCGGCAAACATTGCAGACCTCAACGACGCCATCCTGCCAAGGCTGAGATTCAAGCGTCTTGGCCCCCAGACCCTTGCTACAAGCTAAGCACGGTTCCACAAATACATAAAATAAACCTTGTTTGTATCGGTCCTTTTTGGGAGGCAGGGCAGTGTGGCAGCGTAGGGCGGATACGACCAGACATTTTCCAACTGCTCCAGGTTGATGCGGCTCAACTTGACACTCATGAAAACCGTTGCCGAATCGGCACTGTCAATCGGCACCCCGCAGGTTCCGCCGCGGAGTGGAACCTGTGGGACTCGATTCCTGGGACAGCCAGACAGGGAAACGGGAGACCAGCGAAACATCTCATCCCACCTGCGACAGAGACTGAAGACTGAAGAGAGAAGGCGGGTCGTTCACCTTCGAGACGATCAAGGGGTGAAAGGGGTCGCAACGGGCTTGGCAAAGGGGCGTGCAACAGGCCGGAAAATTCGCCGCCTGGTACACCTCGAGATGTCGCCGCCGCCAGATACAATATTAGGTACCGCGCGCTTCACTATTAATAGCAGTAGCTCTCGGATGTGCGTTGTTACGCTCGTGTTGCCCGGTGGCCCCCACGAAAGAAACCCCCCTCCAAGGAGGTTGCTGTTACATTCTATGATACTGCTGTACGTTGGAGCCAAGGGCTACCTCCAAAAAAAGCCCCATGCTGTCAACCAACCTTGTATGTACTGCAAGAGTGCTGGTGGCCAGACGCACACACATGTACGTACTGCTGTAGACTGCTACTCGCGTACTTTTGGCCCTTGAGGGTGGAGAGTGGTTTGGTGTTTGGTGTGCACTGAACACCTTTCGGAACGCCGAGCCCGACAACGCCTTGTGTGCGGTGGATTTCCATCCTTTGATTTCCGTGGAGCTGTCTTGGATTCGTGCGGTGCAGCCGATAGACGGAGAACATTTCCACGGCCCATGTATGCATGTACGCTTATGCTTAATTGTCCAACGGGGTACAATGAATAGCACGGTCTCGTAAGATAGGTTCATTTTGTGCATTTTACAGAACATGTCTACTGCACAACACTTCATGGCTCTCTGTAGAAGACGTAGAGCCTTTTCATACAAAGGCCATGCTGCCTCGTGCGATGACCGGCCGTTGCCCACCAACGTTGGGGAAACGCTGCATTGGAGAATCTCAACCTGAAATTGGACCCCACACAAACGGGGATGTAGGGATACGATTTCGTATGCAACAGCCTCTGCAATAGGGAACCTCATCCCGGAGTTGGCAGCGGGACCGCTCGTTAATTACATTGCGTGTACAACAACCGCAAGTGGAGAAAATCGTATCCCTGTTTGTGTGGGGTTCCCCTGCCAATTTCAGGTTGAGGTTCCCCAATGCATAATGTTTTGCACGGTGCCTGTAGTACCTTCACACCTATTTTTCTCGGGCACAAACGTGGCGTAGAACTTGGGCATCTATGCGAAGCCTGCGTTTCGTCGTCAATGTTAGGCCGGCGATGTCTTTCTACGGAGCAGTGGGTCCCAACCTTCACCCGTGTGTGCGGTGCCTGGGTTGTCTCTGTTGTGCCTGCACAACAGATTCGGACGAACGGACCGAGCTCGATGCCCTCCGGCTAGAAAATGACACGCTCAGAAGACACCTTGGAAGACTGGAAGACAAGGTTCAGAGAGCGGAGGAGAGTGCTAACCTGCCGGCGTACCAGGTACAACAGATGGCCCAGCAGCTGCACCATGGGCCGACGGAGGAGACCGACGTTCATCTGCAGCAGCAGCAGAGGTTGGCAGAAAGTGCTGCCCCTCTCGAGGTCCGCCACCTTCATGGCATCCTTCAATGGCTTCACGTGAGTTGCGCCAATGAGATGGTTGTCACGACAAGCGTTCTTGTCAATTCGGTGTAGAGTGGTTCGCGCCTGTGATCGGGAGAAACCCTCGTAGATTTTTCGAGGGCCAAAGTTGGGATTGAAATACCACTCGCCACTCTGCTGTCCAGAGAGTGCTCGCATCAGTGTTGGCAATCCGATTCCGGTGTTGAAAATGTCATTTCTGGGCCTCTCTGATGAGGTGGAAAGTGAAGGCGTGCGAGCAACGGAAGGGCGATCCTTCAGAGAGTATCATCTCGGCTCTGGCTCACCAAACGTGTTCATTAGCTTCAACGTTCGGCGTCCAGGATACAGAGTATGGGCAAACGTGAAACAATCGCGAGGCCACTTTTCTTCTCCATCATATCCGTGTAACGCCAAGCAAAAGTGTACCATTTGTCCTACAGCTTTCACGTGCAGCCTTATACAGTGAAGGCATGCACCGAGAGCAAAGAAGATATGTAGTTACTCTGCAAGTGTCCATGGAGAGGCCAATGTTCATGGCGGATATCAAGGCTGAACCCTAGTGGTGTATCGGTGACTATTGGTTGGAATATTTCCAAGCCTGGCGAACAGTACTATTGGTACCAGCGAATGCTTTTCCTGTTACCACTACTCCGCGAAAGTCGCCTCTCTCTGTTTGCAGCGGGTTCTCGCCGACGGACAGCTGAATCTCAGTTGTAGAGGGCACGAGTGCGCCGCGACCCCAGAAAATCTATGTCCGACTTCCATGAAAGGTCGAAAACAGTGCGTCCAACCCGGCAACAGCAGTAATTGCGTCTTCCGCATTGGCGTGCTGTCGCCTACGTGCTTTCGTGTGCCATGAACGGCACTGAGGTGGACAAGCACGCTTTCCCTTCATCTTCGGGCGCATTTGGACACGTTCAACGATCCTATGATTTTGACATGTGATTGCATATTCTCCGCCCCCAATTCGCAACATGGCAATTCATCCAACTCGAAACCACCCGACGCAGCAAGCAAAGGCGGACATGGTGGAGAACGACCGAAGCAAAGTCCAGCTGGAGGGCGACGTGCGGCTGTTGTACAACCTCTTGCAGAAGGCAAAGCGAGAAAGAAAGTCACACGACGGGAAGGTGCAACGCCTCGAGAAATCCATCGCGACCTCAAACGCCAGAGCAGTGGAGGTAAACTCGATGGCCAGAGCACACTGCCCCTTCCTCCTTGCGATTGGTGCCTCCCATGTTCAAGCGAAGGGTACAGTTTGACGGTCAACCGCATAAAATTTGTCGATGTGCCCGTTGGCTGGACAGACAAAGCCATGAGAGTATCTCGGGAATATATATTTGGAGCTGCAACACACACGCGTCGTAGAACGTCATGTTTTAGCGCTACCACTTTCATTTTTTACACCACTCGCTGTCAGCCTTGTGTCAGCAGCCACCGAAAAATGCCTTCAAACACGACCACAATCGACAAACATGACCACAATCAAACCTCCTTTTTGCCCGGCATGTTGTGATCGCACCTTGACCGACAAACAAAGCTGGACAAGGAGTTGCAGCTCCAGCGGAGGTCGTTCACGCGAGTCCTCAAGTCGGACAGAGACGTTTACGAGGCCAGGACTGAAGCGGCTGAGGCTAACGCAGAGCGCAGGTAAGCAGCAAGCCATTCTGAATGGATCCTCAAGATCTTCCCCGGGTGTAGCCGCGGGTTTCCGCGTGCGCTACCGTGAACCTTGACCTTCTTCCCGTTGACGGGCTGGATGCATGCTCGATGCTACAGTAAGGCGCGAGAGTCAAGACAACACCTCTGCAGGACAGGTGTTTAGGTACCCATGGCACGTCGCCCCACTGGGAGGGCATACGTGCTGTAGTAGAGGGATCAATGTGAGCCGAAAGTCTGTACGTCCCGGCGCTGCCCCTTCACCACGTGCCACATGTCCGACTGCCACATTGTTGCACGAAACGCGAATCGTAGACGGGTGCGAGACTTGTCGTGCTGTCACACAGCCTCCGGAGCGTGTGCTGCATGATCCCTTCTGCGCACATTTCTGTTCAGAGCGTGCCGCCTGTTTGTTGTAACGGTCGGAACCTAATGGTGCCGCTGAATAGTGTGGAGCGTCCCGAGTTGCCACGCTTCGCCGATCCATTTACAGCCATCCCTCGGATGAGGACACACATGATTTTCCGGTAAAACAGCAGTTGCCCTTGAGCCGAGCAAGTGTCCTTATGATTGATACCCCCCCCCAGCGTTGTACATCTTGAGGGACACCGCGCCCGTTAACAAAATACGTACTTCCGGGGAGTGTCCTTACAATGGTGTCTTTAAACGAGGGATGACTGTACTGAGGTAATAGCCCAGCCGAATGATCCACTGTTGCTGTAACCGAGGAGTCCTTCCCAATGGCAACCGCAGGGGCCAGGAATTGAAGCGCCTGATGACCTGGGTAGAGAAAGCGGAGTCCAAATACGCCGAGGTGATGACAGTCTGCACTAGACGTGCTTCGAATTTCTCACTCGCATTAGTACGGTGAAAGCACGGTTCGATGTGGCGGAAGGTTGATATGAGTAGGTGTACGTCTTTGGTCACACCATAGATAGCCGTATGTGGCGGTGGTAAATGGTTCAAAGGGAACAAGCCTTCGATATGCTAGGCGTGGCAAAAACAACAGCATCAACGTCAACAACATCAACCACAACCGCATTGAACGTCGTGCCGCAGGCGCTACGCAAGTTGTCCGCACAGGCGGATGATTTGGGAGCAGCTAACCTCGGAGACCTAGAGGGCTTCGCCAAAGACATGTCGGAAGAGGTCTCCAAACTACGACAGGTAAGCGAGTAATTCTGGGGGTGCACCCGTTTATGTACTTGAATTATACGTTTAGTCCATGCTGGCAATCTCAGTTCTAGCACAACACTTTGAACATCTCTGTGATCCAATTCGAGTGGCATGCGTATGAGGCGAGTTGGCTCGTGACGGTCTGTGTTGGCGTTGCGATGCATGACGCTCCTGCCGGCCCGTCGATGAATGCACCTTTTGCGACATCCCGACAGGGAGTGGCAGATTCCGTGCGATCGAGATCGAGATCGAAGTTGAAGGGCCGGTCCTGCGGGCGAGAAGAGGGCTTGCAAGAGGGGAACGACAAGGGTAAAGACGAGGAAAAGAAAGAAAATTAGAAGCCCCGAAAAACGGGGAGCACGGGTGGTGGTGCCTCGGGTACTGACTGACCCTGACGCCTCCAAGGCTAGTGGTGACGGTGGAGAACTAAAAGTCAAGGGACACGTCGACGATGATAGCCTCGAGCGGCCGTTGGCGAAGGTCTAGAGCAAGCGGAGCAAGTGCTACGAGGGAACGTGACAGAAAATACTCCGGAGTCAGGGTTCGGCTGACCCCAATAGGGCTGCACCGCAAGGGACGAGATAGCCGGGAATGACCACGCTTGATCGTGACGTGATGTGTCGTACACAATTTCATCGACCGCTGACTGGTCAACGATCCCTCCGCCGTTCAACGCGTTCAATCCAGAACTCTCACGCTGAGGTCAATTTTTGCAACGCACCTGGGGTGCCTACAGCTCTTGCGTGGGCAAAGAAAAGAAAGTACTGAGAAGGATGGGGGTGATGGTTCCAAAAAATAATATAAAAAAAACATAACGTAGAGAAAAGTTTCCCGGTGTTGTTTTATCTTTGTTGTGTTGGGAGTTCAAGCATTCCTTTTGGATGCAACCATTCACATGTTTCGTCGCCACGGCAGCGGTGTGTCCGTTCACGCACTGCTGTCTGTAGCGGACACGAGACGTTGCTTGTGTTTTACGGCAAGAATGGTGTCGAGAACGGTGTGCATCATCAACGGGCAAGAATAGCATAGGTTGATGTATATTGAGGTTTGCGGTGCCGTGTGGCATTCTTGCGTTGCGCTCGCCGGCAGACTTACGGCGTGGATACTTGTATTATTGCCGCCAGAGCATGGAGGCGTTGCTCGATTTCGGGTTGATGCGTTTAGATCAGATTCAAACATGAACATACCGCGATACTAGCACCTCCAACGATAAACGCCGACGAGACCGGCCACATGGACATCAACAGCAACAAAAAATCGCAGGATAATGTACTTCAGGCCCCGTCAGGCCACGGGGAGAACTGCTTCAAGGAGTATTTTCATGCGATTTCTTGCGTGTTTCTTCTCCTATCGTATATCCAGAGGAAAAAAAAACCCTGCATACAACTGCTGTACCAAACTGTGCCAAGCCCAAAAAAGATGCAAGAGAGCACTGCCTAGGTGCACGGGTGGACGCTACCCTCCACCTGGCCAAGGTTCCATAGCGTAAAGAGGTTTGATCTTGTGCAACGTAACCCCCCAATAAAATTTGCACACGAGACAAGGTCCGAAAAATCGACGAAGTTGGACAACATCCCCCAACCCAACCTTGGGCAGGGTTCAGAATTTTCGAGAGGGTTGAGCAGGGTTAGAGGGAAAGGGGTTGCCCAAATTTCGAAAAAAAAAATGGGCCATGTGCAAGGTAAAAAAGTGCACATTAGACAAGGTCCGAAAAACGACCATGTTGGGCAACGTCCCCCAACCCAACCTTGGGCAGGGTTCAGAATTTCCGAGAGGGTTGAGCAGGGTTCAGGGGAAAAGGGTTGCCCAAAGTTCGAAATAAAATGGGCCTGGCGCAAGGTACAACCGTGCACCTTGCTAAAATCCCCAAAAAACGAGGACGTTGGACACGTCCCCCAACCCAACCTTGTGGAGGACTCATCTAAGAGTTTGGACCCATGTACAACAGTAACTCTACCTCTCGCACGAAACAAGAAGGACCTGACAAGAGCACCGCCTCAACTCTTTGTTTGCTCGTCCCATCGCACGACTACAAGAGAGTGCCGACCCAAACCAACTCAACCGGTCAACCGAAAACTCCCAAGCAAACCTCAACGCGTTATCAACTCCCGACCTACACCACGCACGTTTTGACGACGCTGGCCCATTCTCTGCTTGCTCGTCTATCCTCTGCTTGAGGCGTCCTCCACAACGAAACCATAACGGAACGCTTGATTGCAGTGAGATCACAGCGTTCCAAAATCCCGGCCACTAGGTGGTAGAACCTCCTTGAACGGCGGCACGAAGGAAGCCTGCCGGCCGTGAGAGAGTTCTTCAGAGAATGCACTATTCTCCCAAAACCCCGGCACGTCGACTACGATGAATCTCACAACCTCCAGGGAGATTTCCGCACCCCAAACCGCCAAACCAGCGCACAAATCACCAAACAAATATCATAATTCCACACTCCATCACCACAAGCGCATATCGGTGCACAAAGTAAAAGGCGACGCGAAGGAGCCGCACAGACCAGCTTCTCTAGATTAACGTCGTTAAAACAACGTACCCACGGACCAGAAAATGCAACCAGCCCGTTGGGTAATATACAAAGCAACACAAAACCCACAGCTAGTCGCAGTCTTTCACAACACGCCTCTGGCTCTGTGGCACGCACGTGGTGCGTGTGCAAGAGGTGCGAAACGTTTTTCGTAGACGAACACACACGATTGTCGCAGAAACACCTCACAACGGAAACAATGCTCCACAGACAAAAACCCAAGCACAAAATATGGCGCGTACGAGTCGCGACCACGAAAAACAATCACAGTGTCGGCGAACGATTTTCAGTAAATCTTCACAACACAATCAACTTGTTTGGCCGGCAACCTATTACTTAAAAGAAAACAAGCCGTCACCATGAGCAATTCAAAACAAAACGATGGAACAGACATCAATGAATCAGCGCGGACGGTTCCTGCTTAACTACTCCTGGCGTGCGCAAGCGCGAACGAGTTCTAGAACGCAACGAAACTCTACCAACCGCTTACTTGTGTGACGAAGCAAGCTACCGCCTGCCTGTACAAAGGTTGTCACGCAATAAACTCCACAGCCCGCCCCGCGTCCGTCCACGCCAAACACTCGCCACCAGTAGTAGGGAATAACAATGAGGATATTCTACGCTGCATCATTCTCGACTTGCTTGTAGGGCCGGAGAAACAACTTCGCGGTTCTGATGAAGTCGACCTTAGTTGTTTTCGCCTCCTGCTTCATCTTGTAGTTCCACACAGAGCCCACCGCCTCGAACCACCTGTGTGAAGGGGTGGGGTCAACACGATTGAACGGTTGCAGCAGTAGCGTCACCTGGGGCGTGATAGACACGTCAACCACCGGAAGCATGTGAGGGCTGCGCGCACGTGGTATACAAGCAGAGGGACGTCGGGAAATACCGTCATGTGCACAAATACCATTGCGTTCACACCCGCATACCACGAGAAACCCGAGGCATGCCTGTGCCTGCGATAGGCTGCATGTTGCGGTTTATTTTCCGGGGCAACGACAACTATCCATCCCCTCCATCCCCCTTCCCCCCCGAACCACCACCCCCAACGCGCGCGCCTCCCAACACACAAACAAAACAAAAAACTCCCGCCTCAGCACCCCCCCCTCGGTGTTTGCCATCGGGATTGGGTTTTCGTCGCTTGGCAGCGACGTTGTAAAACAAGCCAATTCACTTCGTGAACTCGGCCACCAGGTTACCGTAGTTTTTTGTTACCTCTGTTTTTTTTTGGCGGTAACCGTAATGGTGGTCGAGTAGATCATGTTGTGCGGGGTCGAGAACCCTCACTCCGCGCAAAGGGGATGATCGCATCACGTTGTGTTAAGATGGTCAAGCATCCTCGAGGCAGTCACAAAGTGCTTACAACTGCCTCAGGAAGTAGGCGCACCAGAAAAATAAATTAAGTCATACGCAGCTGTCATCCGTACGCAAGGAAGTAAGCACAAGATGCCGAANCGCAGGACTCGTCTAGGTTCCCGGTGTAGATTGGACCTGCCTCTATCTCCTCGATGTTCCTAACACGATCAACTCAAACACACACAGAACAACGACCCTGGTACGACGCAGAGGAGGAAGGTGCACCTCGAAGGAGAAGAGTAGCATGCACAGTACAACAAACAGAGAAGAAAGGAAAAGGAGAGGGAACAGAACAGAACCAATCAAACGAATAGAAAAAAGCCTTGCATACAAGAAAAAAGAATGGTAAACGAGAACACAATTCGGCCAGAGCTCAGTCGTGTGCGATGGATCTACTTCTTGAGTGAACCACGCCATACCCAATCCGTTTGCACCCCAAAGGTATGTCGCTACGCTTACTTACGAAGTGAGAGATACGCGTACGACTGTCATTGGCTGTGCCTTTGCAAAAGCAACGGAACAGCATTGAGGGACGACGCCTTGGACGCTTGCGTCGTTTGTCACAGTGAGTTTTTTTACTTCAAGATATCTTGGGAGACGAAATGAACAATAGACCGCCTCTTCAACATTCAAATTTTTCTTCCCCTTCGAAGCGGTACAAAATACCCAGACAAGGGTTGTTGCGTGCACAGACTCGAACGTTTTCGGTTGGGGTCTACACGGGATTCTACTTTGATTTTGGAAACAAGCCAAATGACTAAGAACACGAAATATCAGCAACAAAACACGGCAAACGACCTGCACCTGCACAAGACCACTTCGGCGTTGAGGTCTACGAGTGTTGAGACAGCACTCAAAACTCACATCATGTTGAATCGCTCAACAGCCTTTCTTCCCCCGCACGCCGCGGGGTTTGCACCTTCGCTGATCCAGGCTCAAGCGCGGCCGAGGGCGATGAACAAAACCGCAGGCGAGTCCGGATCCCTGGCTGGCTATCGCCACATCGTTGTGCTCATCGCGCTAGCTCCTAAGAGCCGCCCACATGTCCTCGATGTCGGAGGTACCCACGGGAACGAGCACCTGGTTCACAGCAACAAGTAGTAGGTGTCGGGCCGGGATGTTGCACAAGAGGTTTCGCGCGTTCAAGGCAGAGTTCCGCGGCCGCTGCTAGGTTTGCACCCACACACCACCCGCTTTAGCACAACGCCAACAAACACGCAAGAGAGAGAGAAGGAGAGGGAAGGTGGGGGGGGGGGATCGGCGAACTTCTACGCGAACGAGTGTCAATGTGTCTATTACAGAAAACATACAGCGATCGGCGACCACCGACTATGTAAACAAACAACAATATCGCTCCATTCTCCTTTCGCAACAACAAAAAAAAGCTGATACAGTTGTTCTCTACTTTGCGGTATCCCCAGAGTCAAGACATGAAAGAAGGCAAGT